CAAATGGCATATGATCCTGCCCGCCTGGGTCTCCAATCTCAGGGGGCTGGGAAGTTGCCGTCACCTCAGGAGGAGAGGACCGGTGCATGAACCCAGGTCTCTCCTCAGATGGACTTTCACTCACCCACCAGCACACACCCACTCATGCAGAGAGTCTTTATGGACACTCGCTTTTGTGGAGATACTCATAGTCTGACCTTTTCTGTCGCCATCTTGCCACTTCCTCCTTTCTGATTTTGAGTCTTCTTTTTTCTTAGTCTAGTTAATGTTTTATTGATTTTGTTTATCTTTTCAAACTACCAACTGTTTGCTTTACCTTTTCACCTCTTTTTCTAGTCTCTATGCCATTTATTTCTGCACTGATATTTATTTTCTTCCGTCTGTTAACTTTTGGCTTAGTTTGTTCTTTTTCTGGTTCCTGGGGGTATAAAGTTAGGGTTTTTTGGGGGGGGGTTGATGTTGTCATTTATTGCTGTAAAAATCCTTAGAATTTTTCTTACTGCAGCCCATAAGTTTTGGTATTGCTTCATACATTTTGATAGTCTGTTATTAGGTGCATGTTTATCATTGTTATATCTTCTTGCTGTATTGAACTTTCATTAGCATATAATGTCCTTCTTTGTCTCTCATATACTTTTTTGGTCTGAAGTCTATTTTGTTTGATATAGTCAAAACAGGAATTATCCCACCTCAGTTTCTTGAGTAGTTGGGATTACAAGTGCACACCACTGCTCCCAGTTTGCAGAGTATCTTTTTCCATCCTTTCACTTTCAGCCTACTTTGACTCTCTTGGGAGAGTCTTTGACTCTCTTGGGAGATAAGAAATATAGATTTAATTGGATCACAGCTTGTCTTTTATCCATTCTGCCAACGGAGAGTTTAATTCATTTTCATTTAAAGTAATTATGAGCTTGAGCCCGCGGGTTTGAGACCCGCCTGGGCAACGAGACCTCATCTCTACAATAAATCAAAAAATCAGCCAGGCGTGGTAGCGCGCACCT